ATTCTCTGGGCCACATGTGGAGGCTGGAGTTTGCTAAATGTGCTCTATGCCTGGACAAACCACAGACATTTTTTTTCCCTCCAATTAAAAAAAAATCCAGTTAGTTAACAAACAATGTAATACTAGTTTCAGGTGTACAACATTGTGATTCAACATTTCCACACATCACCCAGTGCTCATCATGACAAATACAATCCTTTATCCCCATCACCTATTTCACTCATTCCCCCTTCTCCCCCCCCCCCCCCCCGTAACCATCAGTTTGTTCTCTACAAGTAAGAGTTTGTTTCTTGGTTTCTCTCTCTCTCTGTTTCTTTCTACTTTGCTCATTTGTCTTGTTTCTTAAATTCCACATATGAGTGAAATCATATGGTATTTGTCTTTCTCTGATTGACTTATTTTGCTTGGCATTATACTCACTAGCTCCATCCATGTCATTGCAAATGGCACGATTTCATTCTTTTTTATGTCTGAATAATATTCCATTATATAATATATATAACATATATAAATACATATAAAATGGAATAATATATACCACATCATATATATACATATATATGAGTATATATATGTATATATACCACATCTTCTTTATCCATTCATCTGTTGATGGACATTTGGGCTGCTTCCATAATTTGGCTACTGTTGATAATGCTCCTATAAACATCAGTGTGCATGTATCCCTTTGAATTAATGTTTTTGTATTTTTTGGACAAATACCCAGTAGTGTGACTGCTGGATAAGAGGGTAGTTCTATCTTTAATTTTTGAGAAACCTCCATACTGTTCTCCAGAGTGGCTGCACCAGTTTGCATTCCCCTAGCAGTGCATGTGTGTTTCTTTTTCGCCACATCCTCATCACACCTGTTGTTTCTTGTGTTATTGATTATAGCCATTCTAACAGGTGTGAGTTGGTACCTCATTGTAGTTTTGACCTGCGTTTCCCTGAGAGTAAGTGATGATGAACATTTTCATGTGTGTATTGGCCACCTGACAGGATAAATATTTATACTGTCTTTTTATGATACACATTTTATTTGGGAAGCTGATGCAAATGTTTGTGTATTTCCTATATAGATATTTTACAAAGCCCAGAAATAATTCCTGAATCAGTACTTAAATTTTTTTTGTTAATTTTTAAAGTAAAGGTCTTGAAATTAGGAACTGATTGGTAGATTAATATCAATTTGCTTATGATGAAAACTTTTGTCACTAATTAAAAACAACATACTTCCTTGCAGAGATCACCCAGGAATTCTTTAACAATATTTTTCTCATTTACATATGTATCTATTTAAATATTTATTGTTTTTATATTCATATCATTTGGTGAAGGGTAATCCTGCATTGTTCTCCAGTTTGATGAGCTGATATGGTGATCTTTCTTTGGGATCTATTTTGTTCTAAAATGTTAAGAGATTTTTACCTTATTCTCCAGGAAATATAATAAATTTTCTAGATAGAATCCACAGGTCACTATAAGATTTTTGTGTTTGCTTGTTGATATGATAGTTGGTGCTGAATGCAATCTTTTATTATTAATCCATTATATGACTATATATAAATACTGAATGATGTGGCTTTAGCTCTAGGATAAAACTATTATACTTTTTTGAAGTTTATGCAGACAACATAGGATATTACTTTTTGGTTTAATATAGAGATATATAATTAACAATTATATTTATTCTTTGGGACACAAAAATGTATAAGGGTTATACCTTTTTATTTATTGCTTATATCATTATAAATAGGAACACACTGAAAAAGAAAATCAACTTGATCTAAAAGTAATTTAATTAATGTGCAGTGTTAGTATAATTTCCTTATGAAAGTCCAGATTTTAGTGACCAGTTTTAGTTACCAATTCTTAGCCTTTCTTTGAGAAGGGAAAAGCTAATGAATTGATCACCAAGTCACAGGTTTATATTCTAGGATGGGTCCTGGGCAAGGTGCAGAAAGCCAAATTTCAGAGGAATCCACTACCCTTTGGTCTGATCTTTTGCTGCCTTTTAAGTACCCAGTGCTATTTCAGTGAAGCATTGAGTTGATTATAGTTTAAATGCATTTTTAGTCTGTTATCTTATATGAATAATTTACTTAAGCTTATAAATATTTAAAATTTAATATGCATAATTATTTTAGTAGCTATTTTAAGTTAGACTGGATACATAACCCCCAACTCTTTTAGCTGCTCCTTTAAGCAGTAAATAAATTCATTTGTAAGACTTTTAAAATACATTTATAAAACTGTACATTTTATTTAAAATATTTATGCCTTTACTTCAATTTATATTAAGGAAGACATTTAAAAAATAAAGAGGAAATCTGTTTATCTTCAGTAAACCAAATGTAACTGTGTTTAAAATGGTACTTTAAAATAAGTATTTTAAAAACTTCAGTATCAGTATTAATAAAAATATGCAGAGAACTTGAGAACTAAATCATGGAATCATTAAAGCAGCAGCGGTAGTTTTAATATCAGTCCTCTATTAGGCACAAGTGATTCAACTCTTTTTTTTTTTTTTTGGTGTCAGCATAATTTATATGTATAATTCCAATATGTAGCAAAGCACTAACCTTTTCTATTATATGACCACAAATTGTAGATAGAAATTTCTTCTTAGTACAGTGCACTCAGTTGTGCAAACTTATCTTTTTAGGGTCAAAGAAGAACCCAAACCACAACCGACACAGTAAGTAAACGTATTCAGAGTGCAGTAGGCTTGATTTCTGTACCTTTGCCCTATTCTGCTTTCTGCACCTTGGATGGTATTAGCTTACCCTAATACTGGATAGGCTGCAGCTAGTGTGTCTTCTGCTTTCTGACTCTCTGGCTTGTAAGAGAGCTGCCTGCAGCTTCTTACTTCATCCACATATTGACTGGATGTAGTTTTTTGCTGCCTGCTTGTGGACTGGTTAAGTGTTCCAACTTAATTTCCCTACATTCTGACTGCCTGGATGATAATTGGAGCTCCCATTTCCATTGGCTGTAGCTTTTGTGCCTGTGTATTTTTTTTAGTATGGATAAGAAAACATTTGACCTACATTGTTAATTCATTTGGTTATTCAGTCACATTATTTGCTTATTTAAACAGGTGGTTTCCCTTTAGTGGGATCACTGAACTGGTAAATAACGTTCTTCAGCCCCAGCAAAAACAGCAAAATGAAAAGGAGCCCCAGACGTAAGTAAGCTGATCTGTAAAGACTACATATTCTCTCTGATAGCATAGCATACTGAAGAATATGTATTAAAATGCTGCCCTTGGAATATTACTCCTCAGAAATGAAAATTGTTAGGTTATGAGTTTAACACATTCACCTTTAATTATCCCATGGAAATCTAAAAAGAAAACAAGACAATTTATAGGGTAGTAAAAACCAAGAGGTAATTCTTCCCTCAGTTTTAGTATAAAAAATGTAAACTACACTTGTCCAGTAAAACATCTTTCTTCCAGTAAAACCTCTTTCTCCAATTATGCAGTATAGTATCAAGTGTGTTTCTTTCAAAAATAATTCAGAGGACATTAAGAAGTATTAACCCCCAAATTCAGTCTTTGGCCAAATAGTTTTGGAAAGTTTCTTTTAAAAAAAATATCAAGGAGTTTTCTTTATTGTAATACTTCGGAGTGTCTAAATATGCTCCAAAGATTTTAGAACATACAGTGTTTACATATTTGACCACTGAATTCTGTTTTCACTGAACATTTTATTATGTTATCAACATAATTTGGGAAATGCAGCAATTTATTCTCATGTTGACCTGAAACATTAAAAAAAGGTCACTTCCATTTACTTTAGTTGTTAGTAGAATAGAAAACATTCTTTAAGCCTAAGTGTCCATCAACAGATGAATGGATCAAGATGTGGTTTATCTATACCATGGAATACTACATGGCAATGAGAAACAATGAAATCTGGCCATGTGTAGCAACATGGATGGACCTTGAGGGTGTTATGCTGAGCGAAATAAGTCAGGCAGAGAAGGACAAATATCATATGTTTGCACGTATAGGAGGATTAGGAGGAACTTGACGGAGGACCAAGGGGGAGAAGAAGGGCGGAAATGGTGGGGGAAAGGGAGAGAGGCAAACCATGAGAGACTCTTGAATGCTGACAAAAACTGAGGACTGATGGATGTGGGGGGGAGGGGGGGATGGGCATGGAGGAGGGCACTTGTGGGGATGAGCACTGAGTGTTACGTGGAAACTAATTTGACAATAAACTATTTGTAAAAAAAAAAAAAAAAAAGAAAACATTCTTTAAAAAATTGTTGACACATACCTTTTTAACTTTGTGCAAGTAATACTATTTATCCTGGGAAGTGGAAGTAACTTTGAGAAGGTGAGAACGATACATATTTAAGTTCCAATCTCTCCATAGTAACTGCATCCTACTGAGACGTGCTCTTACACTTAGCCTCTGTGCTTTTTTAAGCGGGAGTTATGTTTATAAAGAAGATATGGGTTGGTTATAGGAATGGGCAGATTGAGAAGTGGCCTGACCTCTAGGAGAGGATGAAAATGACTACTAGGAGCTGTAAGATGAAATAATTCCGAGAAACATTCATGTTTGCCTTTAATGCAAACTGGAGGATAAATGTCTTTTTGTCTTGTTCTGGATGATGGTAGTCCCCTCGTTCATTTTGTATTACCTCAAATGCGTTTTACTTAAAGTTTTGTCAGCGTTTTAGTTTCAACTGACTAAAGTTGTGTTGCAGTATACTACTTCTAATAGTTTCCTGTAGTTCCCATCACCCACATCTGCAGATATGTTCCATGACCCCAGGAGATGTCTGAAACTGCGGATGGCAGATAAACCCTATATCTTCTGTTTTCTTCCCCTGTACATACATACCCATGATAAAGTTTGACTTATACAGTAAGCACAGTAAGAGATAAAAAACAACTAATCATCAAATAGAACAGTTATAATGATATGCTGTAATAAAAGTTACGTAAATGCAGATTCCCTCTCTCTAGATATCCTGTATAATACTCTTCTTATGATGATGTGAGTTGATAAAATGCATACATGATGAGATCACGTGGGGTGAATGAGTAGTTCCTGTGACATAGTGTTAGGCTACTGTTGACTTTCTGAGGATATGCCAGAAGGATCCTCTGCTTCCAGACCACAGTTGACCATGGATAACTGAAACCATGGAAAGCGAAACTGAGGATAAGGGGGAGACTACTATATTTGTAGCTCTAAATTTGGAACTATTGCTGTATTTGATGTAGGTGAAGTCAAGACCTGTGTTTGGCTTGACTACTCTTTTATCTTTGGAATCTAGCAGAATGCCTGATGCATAGGAGAAACTCAGTAAACATTTCTTCACAAATGATTTTTACATGTTTTTTTTCTTTTATGACATAAGAATACTGTGTTACAAGGAACAGCAATGAAGAGTTTAGTAAACTCTCTTCTAATCAAAAATTATATTAAAATGACATATGATGTCATTATTTTGCTGACTTTCTTTAAGGTACCGAAACATTACAAAATAGTAAAATTACTATCAAAATATAATTAGATCCAAATTTGCTTCAGTATTAAATTGCCTTAGTTATGTGTCTTATTTGTGAGTTTCAGAAAGTAATCAAGATTAAGTTATATTATCTAGTAGATTACAATGGAATTCAACAAAATATTTTGTTATACTTTAAACAGTGATGTCTGATTATTGAAATAAAGTGACATTTGATTGGCATAAACAAAGGTGAAGTCAAACCTAAAAAAATGTATCTTTACTTTTATAATAAATATAATTAATTTGCTTTGATTTTTTTTTTGGCTAGGAAGATGGTAGGAGAAAAGACTAGTGCCTTTGGATGTTTTAAAAACTAATTCTTGATTTTAGGTATTATTTTCATTAAAGTATCTTGGGCAGCTAATTCTTCTTACTGATCTGTAATTTATACAGTTTTAAAAATTCAGAATCAATAGATTCTCTCAATAGTTACTTTCTTCATCTTACATTTCTGTTATGCTGAAATTTTTGGTGTATAATTTTCCAGAAGCTTTCCTTTTACCTTTCTGATCCATACACCAGGATTACTTGTGAATATTCTCTTTTAATTCATCTTCCCAACTTCTAAGACTTCTTAGTGAGTCATCTAATTTTTTTCTCTCTTTGAGAGATTCATTCATTTGAATGAATGGGATAACTTCCTGTCTGCTTACTTTGTATTCATTCATCCATAAAATTATTTCTAAGAGCTGAATTCCAGGTATTCATTTAATATATAAAAAATAGGACTTACGTTTCCTCATATTACCTATAAGCATCTTCATAGTAGAACAAGTAGATATTTTAAAAGATAGTATTGAACATCTGGTATTTCCTGAACAGTAATTTCATTTTTATGAATTTATATAAGTCCCATTTTGTGGTTATTCAAAGCTATAATAATGTAGGTTTCTTGAAAGCTGTATTTTTGGAGTTTGTTTATTTTGTAGGTCTTTCATATAACAGGACAACTTACTAATTTTGATATGGTTAATTCATGTGAAGTTGTAGGTAGAACAGTGTGTTCAGCTCTGACTTCACTAAGTTTTAAGGCATAGAACATTAATTGAGCCATTTGTTTCAGGTGTCTTTTCATTCAGCCTTTGCAGAAATTCCTTATTATACAAATTAAATAATTTTAGTTTTGCTTTCTCTTCTTTTTTTCACTATTTTTTTGCATCAGCATCAAAAAGAGGGAAAATTTCTATAAAGGCAGTATAATGTCGGTTGTATGTAATGTGTAAAACAAGTCCCTGGATACTGAAGGATGGGGGTACTAGGAAAGAGAAGTGTTAAATTCTTTGTAATGCAACTGTTAACTTTTTGTTCCCAATATCTAGCATAATATCAAAATTAAGTAGGAAAGATTTAAAATATGGATTAATTAAACTGATCAATTGGATTAGCTTGTTTTGCATTTTCATGTAATAACAATTTTATTCATTCTGTGACATAATAACAAATATACTTCTGAAATACTAGGAAAATCTAAAATCTTAGTCATTCGAATCAAGCAGCTGCTTAATATAGTATGTCTCCTTGATTATCAGGTCTTTTAATGGGAAATAATGCTAAGAGGAGGAGTGTTTTAAGCATAGGGAACATCATATGTGAACATTTTTAAGTAGCAAAGGGTTTGAGAGGCCAGGAGGACCTGTGTGGCTGTAATTTAGTGGACAAGATGGAGTGTGATGGGAGATGAGCATCCAGAGGTAGGACTAAGGGAAGGGACAGTGTTTTTATAGAAAGTTAATAAGGAGTTTGGATCTGAGTGTCAGTATAAAAGGAAAATAATTGGAAACTTTAAAACATGGGAGTGACATGATTTGCTTTGTGTATAAAGATCAATCTGGCTGCTCTATGGCTCTAATGAGTGAGAACAGAAGTGGATAGAGCAGTGAGGAAGCTTTTATGAAAGACTGCTAGGAATTATGATGACTTGGACGAGGCTGATTACAGTGATGATGGAGAGGAGGGGATAGGGGATGAACTTGGAGGTTGAAATGACACGATTTAGTAGTGTCATAGGTATGGAGGAAGTTAGGAAGGAAGAGAAAAGAGCCAATGATGACTCCTGATTTCTGATTGGAACTAATTGGGTGGTGATGCCATTAACTGTGATCAAGAAGGGGAAAGGATGAACAGGTTAGAAATAGCCACAAAAACTTAAGTTTTTAACTTTTTATGTTTAAGATGCTATAAATTAGCCAGTTTTGAAGGAGAGTTATGGATTGGTTGGAGTTATAAAACTCTGCTGTTGTCCATGTGGTACATAAAGCTACAAGGATTGATAAGATAACTTAAGAGAGTGTGTGATGAAGATCAGATAAGAAGGTCCATGATTGAGCCCTGAAGAATGCTCAGACTGTGCAGATTACTGGGAATCCAGAGATAAAAGGACTATGGTTTCTACTCTCACAAATATTTCTCATTCATGTGGGAAAAAGACATGCTGACAAACAATGAAAAATAATACAGTGGAGATTTCTGGTTTCCTCTTTGACACATAAAGTGTTTGGAAGTTGTTACTGTCATCCTCACAAGAAAAAGCTGAACAAGTTGAAAATCAACAACTCTTCTAAGATCTATCGTATAATTGAGATCACAGGGCAAATCAATGCCCTGCCAACTGGAGGGCGAGCCAAATGAAGAATCACAGCTTACTGGGAGCAG